TTCTCTTCCAAGGGGAACAGTAAATTGAAATAAAGAAAAGAAACAATTAGAGTGAACATTACATTAGAGTGGCTTACAGAGGAAGCCTGCCACCACAGCAACTCCCCAGAGTGACAGGCATGACACCTGTGTTTACAGATGCCACTCTGGTACAGGCAATCCCTCAGCCCCTGTCCACAGCCAGAGACAGAGAAGATACAACACGCAGACAAAGCCCTCAGCAGATTGGTGGGGTGCTGCATGTTATCCACATTCCTCAGCCTCATATGGGCAAGACCTCACAGTGGCACAGGAGAAATAAATGATTACCACAGAGAGTCTTTCCTGGATAAGTGATACACACAATACGCCTTTTCCTCCATAAAAGAATAATTATCCAGCTGTTCCCAGAGATCACAGTTAATGGCCTCATATACAAAGTGGGAATTTAGGGAGGTCCAAAGAAGAAAAATCTAGCAACTTTAGAGTGCTCAATATAGTGTAAATAGGGGAGATACTGAAACACAGCATGATGGTCTGCAGGACAAGATGACACATAATACATCAATGGCAAATGGAGAAATTCCTGCTACACTTACTCCAGTAGCACCTCAGAACAGATCAAAGTGATGGCCACACTCCTCAGGTACAACAGAAACCCTGGCAAAAGGCTTAGGCAGGGAGGGCTGGGGAAGGGGAGGGAGGGAACAAGCATAGACTTACAGGCTCCTCCTGTTACCATGCACTTCCCCTGGTAATAGCAAAGGGATGAAATACATGACCATAAACACATAAGTCATGTGAAAATACTGTAAGGTAGAAGAGATCAAGGATAAACTTCAAAAACAACACTGGCCCCATAAACTAGACTTGAATTTATTAAACAGACCTGCCATGACACAAGTAAAATCTCATTGATAAATCTCAATACTGGGGCTGGCTGTTCCCTCCAGCAAGAAGAAGCATCTTCAGACCAGTGCAAAAAGAAGGTTTGTAGAAAGAGGCAACTATTTTTAATTAACCACTGCTACAGAGCTGGAACAGGGAGACAAGCTTTTGGTCATACAAGCTCTTCTTGAATGCTTCAAGCTAATTAAAACAGGCAAAAAGAATTATTCAACAGAAATTAAAAACAAAAACAACTCCCAAACAACAAAACAAGAACGACAATAAGCACACATTCGACATGAGGCAAATATTCCCTGTGGTCCAATTCTAAGATCATGCCTGAGGGCAGCATTCTCCAGACAAACCTCTGCTTCCTACCCAGGAAGGAGAAGTTGCTCACACACACTTCTGCATCATGCCAGGCCACATGTTTTAGTGAGACAAGCCTGCAGCATAAAAGGCAGCAGAGCCCAGTTGCCACCTGCCCGCCTTTCCTTGTGCTCCCAGGACACCCACATAGCACAGCGAGATGCTCACACCGTGCCAAGGGAGAGCCTGAGCTTTACCTGGTGGGACTGCAGGCCAATGATGGAGGAATACACCTGGATGGTGACAAAGATTTCTGGCTGGTAGATAATGTCTGAACCAGGGATACGAAAGGGTCTTAACAATCCCACCAAGCATCGGGAAAGGGCATGAAACACTTCATCAAAAATGATCTCCCCCGTGGAGTCATCCTACAGAAAGAGAGAAAGGGAACAGCTTTTTCATCTCCTAGGACCTTCAATCTCACTGTTGGGCATCCCACTGCACAGAGCAAATAGCAAACATCCTTCTGCAATGGCAGCTGGATTATAGTGACAACTCCTGTAAACAGAAGTCACACATTAAGCATCCAATGGAGAAACAGGATTTGCCATTAAATCCCCAGCCAGGGGCACAGCATGGGTCTCTCCCGGGAAAAACTTCTACAAAAGCTCAAACTGACACTGAGAGCAATAAATCTTTCCTCAGCAAATACAAATAGGTTTCTGTTTTAATGCAGAACACCCCAGAGAGAGGCAGTTTCTGCTCTTACCACAATCCCCGTGGAAGGGCTCAGATCAAGCTCAATCACAAACCGGTACTGGCGGGCCAGGAAGGTGACCCGTGTAGAGGGGACCAGGAGGTAGGGCCTGGGCTGGACCGGCTCGTCTGGCTGCCACCCATTGGGCAGGATGCTGAGAACATCAAGCTCATTTTCTGACTTCACCTGCCAGAACAAGCAAACGGTACATGAGAGAACATCAAGCCACACCGAAGGAAGAAGCAAAGAAAAGGAAGGGGCTCAAATGCTCTGCAGGGTGCGGGTGCTGCTGAGCGCTGCAGCACCGGCGGTGACACCATGCAGCCCCGAGCACCAACTCACCAGCTCGGGCTCGGGCACGGCCCGGATCACCTGGTGCAGGCGGCTGAGGACCCAGGCGAGCCGCACGTTGCGGGAGATGCGATAATCCTTCTTCATCAGGAGGAACACGTGCCCTGCCTCCTCCACCTGCGGCGGGAGCACAGCGGCGCGGGTCAGCCCCGGAGCAGCCCCGGGCAGCGCCCGCGCCGCCGCTCACCCCGGGCTGCTCCGGCCCCGCGCTGCCCACGGCGGCCGCGTCCCCTGCGCGCTCGGCTCGGCTCGGCTCGGCTCAGCCCGGCCCGGCCCCCCAGCCCCGCTCCCCCAGCCCGCACCCACCTCCCCGTCGGGCCGCTCGGCCGCCGCCATGTCGGCGCGGGCCCGCCCCGGAAGTGCGGCTCTCCCGGGACAGCGGGGCGGGGCCGCGCCGCCATCGCCGCCGCCGCCGCCGCCATCATCATGCAGGTGAGGGCCGGGGAGCGGGGCCGGGCCGGGCGCCCCGGGGCTGCGGCAGCCTGGGCGGGCGGCCGGGCGCGTCCCGAGCCGCCGCTGTGCCGCTCCGCTGTGCCCCTTGTTGCCGTGCGGCTGTGGGGTGAGAGGTGCGCGGCTGAGCGCCCCGCTCCCACTTGAATGAAATGCCGCTAATCGAGAAGAATCTAATTACTTTATTAAGTGCTGGGAATTTGTAGCATCCTTATTGTCCAAAGAAAAGAGCATTAATGGCAGGTTAACAGACTATAAAGATGCACCTCCTTTGGTTTGCTTGAAAGCACAGCCCGCTGGCCTCATACGGATCTGGTTGTCCCGCTGGAAAAGAAAGTGAAAACAGATTGTCCCGCTGTTCCTTGTTTACAGGGTTTGTTACATTGTCTCTCCTTCTTTCAGCCACTTCATCATGCCAGTCTTTTTCACTGGGTTTTTTGTTTTGTTTTGTTTTTGGTTTTGTTTTTGGATTGTAGTGGTTTGTTTTTTTGGGGTTTTTTTGTGGTTTTTTTTTTTTTTTTTTGAACTATGAGTATTCTTCATCATCCTCGTTGCCTTTATCAGTACATATTCCTACTCTATTCCTTTTCCGTTCGGGGGACAAGAGTGACATGGAATATTCGAGATGCAAAGGAGGCATGCATTTCTGTGGTGACATAATGATGCTTGGTTTCTGTAGCTGTCCTAATAACTCCTGTAGTCACTTTTACTGCTTTGACTGCTTTTCCAGGATTGGGCCGATGTTTTCATGGGTTACCCTCAGATAACCCTGAGATCTTTTTGAGTTACAACCCTATCAGCTCAAATAATGCCATTGTGTACAGAAAGTCATGTGGTTTTTTCCCCCTTTGTTTTGCCAGTCAGGATTTTTTTCTCCTTTGTTTTGCCGCTGCATTGTTTTACCTTTACCTACTCTGAATTTCACCTTTCCCTCTCAGTTGCTGTGTATCAAGAGGTCCTTCAGAACCCCTACCATCAGCCCTATCTTTACTACATCAGGCCAATTTAACATTGCTAACAAACTCCTCAAAGTGTCCTCTTGGAGAGGTCAGTCTTACTGTGTTTATCTTGCACTGCTTGCATCTGCTTCCAGCTCCTGATGGCTTTGGGAAGAGCCTAGGGAAGGAGGGTTGGAGTGTTCTGCTGCCATGAGAGTGCTCCTTGTGCAATGGGGTTTATTCATCCTCTTGAGGGCTTCTTGGATAAGCACAGGCGGTGGACCGGGGGAATTGCCGTGGGTGCATATGCCTGGCACCTCTGCAGTAAAACACTGGCTACCAGCCCGGCTTGTAATGCAGGCAGTAGTTAACCTCCTTGCACAAACACTGCACACAAACTGTTGCAGGCACGTTTCTTAATTGGACAGGAACTGACTAGTCCCGTCACAACATGAAGGGGAGTGCTTTTATCTCTAGGTGGAACAGCCAGCAGCAATCTGTTCCATGAGTCCACTCCATGGACTGGGGATCAAATTTTACTAAGGTTGATTCAGCTGTTTGTTCTAAGGTGGTTAAAGTGAAATGAAATCCCATCAGTGATTATCAAGTTGTCAAATAAAATAGAATAATGTTGTGTTCTCATGCACATGGAGGGTGCCTGATAATCTCTCCGTGAAGCTGACACTGGGCCAGTGTATTTGAACGGAGCAACAACAAACCCAATAGCAAGCATGCCAACAGTGTGAGTCACTATCTGCTTTCCCAATCAGTATCCCCTTTCTATTATTTGATTGCTTTGTCCCACCCTCCTCATGGATTATTGTACAGTTTTCAACTTACTCGAGCAGTTCCTTAGGGCTGGGACTTTAATTATGTTTTGCACAATACTGTAGTATGAGTAAGTTAGAGTAGATAAGAGTTTAGAGTGATTTTGCAAGAATCAAGGGCATGCCTTGATGTCTTTGGCAACACATCCCCAGTCTTGACACTTTGTCTGTCACCATCCTCCCTCACCCGGAAGGGGATGTCAGTGGGGAAGATTTCTTAAAACAATATAATCCCAGCAAAAGGCAGGATTAAGGGGTGTGTGTGGGTACAGTGCCAGTCTGTGTTACGGCAGGGCCTCCCACAGCCCCCGGGGCACAAGGCCAGGAGGAGCTGCTGGTTTCCTTGGCAGCTGGAAGTGTCACATGGGCAGAAAGAAAGTAAAGATTGGCACAAACTTTAGTAGTCCAGGGTCCGTGGTATTTATTTTGCAAAGACTGTTTTGGATAAAGACATCACAGCTGCTTCAGAAAAGGCTGAGGGAATGCTAATCTTTGTTCTGGGTTAGTTTAAGTGGTTTAAAAAGGTGGCATGAGCTAGTTTTGATGACTTTGCTTGATGTGATGTAAATGATGATGTCTTCACTCACCTAAATCTTTAACAGGACAACTGGCCAAGCGTTCCTCTCAGGCACAAGTCTCTTGCCTAAGTAGTCTGACCCAAGGGAAAGGGGTCAGTGTGAAATAATAGGATTTTTATCTCCAATGCCCCTGCTTCCTTTGAAGAGAAGGCTGTCTGTAGGACAGATTGGATCATAGATGCATGGGCGTGGATTCACAACGTTTTTGTCCTCCTCCCTTGTCTGTCTTGCCTTTTTTTAGAGAGAGGAGAAGCAGTTGGAGCTGACCCTGGAGGCACTCATCAGTCAGGTGGCCGACCTGAAGAACTCCTTGGTCAGTTTTATCTACAAGCTGGAGAATGAGTATGACCGTCTTACATGGTAAAGTGTCTCACTGTTGATCACTGCCTGAGCTCTTCAGACTTGGCTCAAAGGGGATTATCTTCTTGTCAATACATTTAAATTTTCTTTTTACATTTGTGCTGGAGGAACCATTACCCATCTTCCACAAGAAAACCAGTTGAAATCCATTGGCTTCATGCTGCAGAGTAATTAGAGTCAGACTAACACCTTTTAATCCAGACATTTTATGGGAACTTAACTTGAATCTGCAGCAAGTAGCAGTTCTTAGATGAAAGGCCTTAGAGACCCACATACACTATAAAATGAGGAATGGTTCTTTCTGTATTTCTTGACCTTTTCTGGGTTTTTGTGGCTCTGATATAAACTGAGCTTTTGTGTTTTGCTGATTCTGCTTTACCACAGTTTGAGAGCTTTGCAAGATGGCATTCTCTTCCTGGAAAATATGGAGCATAAAGATGTTACAGCTGCAGCTTAATAAACTATATGGTATCTTAGTGTCTGCCACTGCAGCAAAGGTTCACAGACAAATTAACATTTATAGTTAATGTTGCAGAAGGCAAGAGAGTTGATGAATCGAGCACAGAGACCAAGCTGAAAAGGACCTCCTTGAAAAGATTATCAGTTGTTTAGCTTCATTGTTTCTTAGTCTGGATAGCCAAGCTATAAGTACTTTCTCTCCTGGCTGTACTGCTTCAAAATGAAATTTTTTTTTGACCTTGTTCCAGAGTTTCACTGGGAGAGGTAGTGAAATGAAAGCAGTGCTTGTGTGTGTCTTACTGAAATCCCACACAACTGCCACTTTCAGTGGTATTGCTTGTAATGTCCCTGAGGTATTTTCTGCATTTGAGCCTTCTCCAGTTAGGACTGGGGTTTTTCCACACCTGTGTATTCACCCATAGGTTTTACTGCTTACTGTCTGGAGTAGACTGATTTGAGGACTAACAGTGTTGTTTCCTCACTCCTCAGCCATTTGAGTGAAGAAGAGAGAAAAGCCCTATGTGGCATCCCCTTTGTGTCTTGTTTGCTTTTCCAGGCCTTCAGTTCTGGACAGCTTTGCACTGCTCTCAGGACAGCTGAACACCTTGAATAAAGTGCTAAAGCATGAGAAGACCCCGCTGCTGCGAAACCAGGTGATCATCCCCCTCGTGCTGTCTCCAGACCGCGATGAGGAGATCATGGTAAGACATGTCCCTTGAGTATCAGAAAGTGCTTGAGTGCCTGAGTATTCAGCTGAGCTTTCCTCAGTTCTGGGTGTGAAGGAAGAAAGGGAAACAAGTACTTCTGTCTGAGAGCTGCTTTGCTGTTGGGTTTTCACCTACAAACACTTGCACTGGATGCACTCTACAGGAGGTGTTGCTGTTAATAAATATGTTGCTGTTACTAAATGGGCATAGTGCAAATTCCTGGACAAGTTGATGAAACCTCCTAATGCTCCCCAGATCAAGGTTTTCCCTGTAGCCTTGTTCAGCACCATGGCCTGTGGCCTGGTCTGGAGCTGCCTGGTGCTGGGCTGGGCTGGAGGAAGAGGCTCTGAGCGAGGCTTTCCCACTGTTGCAGCGGCAGACAGAGGGGCGTGTGCCGGTGTTCAGCCATGAAGTCGTGCCCGACCATCTTCGAACTAAGCCCGACCCTGAGGTGGAGGAGCAGGAGAAGCAGCTGATCACAGATGCAGCTCGAATTAGCCCTGATGCAGCACAGGTAGGTAAAGAAGAGTTTGATACTTCTGCCCTTATTCCTAGGGCACAAGATACCCTTTAGCTGTTTCCTCCACCTTTACATTTGACAGTTTTCTTTTTCTTCTGTGTCTTTTCCTGTCTGAGATTTCTCCAGCTGACCGTAGCTGAGGTTTGGTTTCCTCCACAGTTTCACAAGGGTATCCAACTCTCTGGCTGTTCACAGGAGGTGCCCTCCAGCCCGTCAGAGGCGAAGGCTGTCCCATTTCCACAGTGCCCTCCTGCATTAGCACTGGACACTCTAAGCTCAGCTACCAAAACGCTTATATTTGGTTATGTGGATCCGGGGAAGGGAAAGCTTGTTCATTTATCTTGCTGATTTGTACTGAGTTGGAGGTACCCTGGCAGTTTCTGACAGTTTTCATTTTGCAGAAACAGATCCAAAGTCTGAACAAAATGTGCTCAAATTTGCTGGAGAAAATCAGTAAGGAGGAGCGTGAATCTGAAAGTGGAGGTATGTCACTGATGTAGAAGGGGTTATGGGGTTTAAGCAGCAGACTTGAGAGACTAGAGGCAAAATAGATATATTGGAGAGCCTGAAGTATGGGTAACACAGTTGAGCAGCACAAATGAAAACATTCCAGAAGATGCAAGATTGGCTGTCCTGGAGCCCCCTAATATGAGAAGGGAGCCTGTGGGTGCAATGTGTCTTCCCTGTGTGACCTGTGCATGGCAGGAAGGTCACTCCAACCCTTTGACATATCTGCCTTTGAGGAGGTGATGAGTGTCTGCCGAGAAAGCTTCCCAATCAATTTTAATTAATAAAAATAGCTGTGAAAATGCAGCAGCAGTGAATGAGAAACCCTTTAGCTATGTTCTGAAGGTGTCCACATGTTGGCAGGCTCTTGTGTGATCCTGTCTATGTAATGGGTGCTTCAGGCTCATGGCCAGCCTTTTCTGGTTGTGGTGTTCACTATTCCTGGGTGTGCCACACACTACTCATAAAGGCAGTGGCATTGTTTTTACTCTCATCTTTTAACACGGGACCTGAGCACAGGTTCTGTCTACTGTCTGGGAATAACAGTGTAGCTGGGCACATGTATGGCAAAAAAACTTGCAGACACCATGTTGCTTATGAGCTTCCAAAAGGGGGTGTTGCTATTGTTTGTCTGAATCACAGTGCTTGTTACCTGCCATAGGATTCAGCATGCAATAGCCCTTAGTGGCAGCTTCTCATGGGCATGGAGGTGTTAGCTCACTCTGTCCTCCTTCCATGAGCAGATTATGCCCTGCTCTCAGTGAAAAAGCTCTTGGATCATCAGTGTCCGTTGATTTTGCAGCTTCCTTGACCTTGCTGAGACTCTTGTAGGACAGCCTGTAAGAAACTAATCTCTATGCATGTACTAAGGTAGCTAAAAAGTAAATTCAGGACCAGCTATGCTACTTTTTCAACCTGATTGCGAAGTCTAAAAATAACTGGCAAACTAACTTTTTTTTTTACAGGTTTAAGACAGAACAAGCAGACCTTCAACCCTGCAGATACCAATGCACTGGTAGCAGCTGTGGCCTTTGGGAAAGGGCTGTCAAACCGGAGACCCCCAGGCTCTGGGGCGTCTGTCCAGTCGGGCCAGCCAGGAGCTGGTGCCATCATTGCAGGTGCTTCAGGCATGCAGCAGGTCCCAATGACAGGTGCACCAGCTCAGCAGCAGCCAATGCTGGCAGGAGTGCAGATGGCACCAGCAGGACAGCCAGGTAAAGTTCTGTATCTGAGATCAGTTGAAATCCAGGGACCAAGAAAGACAAATGCAGATGTAGAGATTCTTCTCCAGTCACCTTTTAGATGTGATTAAGTATGAGGTTCCTTTCAGGCCTTAATAACATGAGTCAGGGTGTAATAGAGGAGTAATACCTGTTTAAAATTGGCTCAGAGGGTGAGGTGGATCCAAGCCAACCAGCTTCAGCTTCTTAACTCCCACTGAAATACTATTTTAATAATAGACTTGGTGAACATAGGAATTAATATGGAGAGATCACAGTGTAGTTTTCAGGGATCTGTACTGGGGGTTTTCCTGTGAAATTTAAGTTGTGGGTAGGTAGTAAAGCAGAAAAGTTTGATGATAATGATTTAAGGTAAGAAAAAAAAGTTTTCTGTAAAAAGTTAGAAGGATTTCGTATACAAGGTGACTTTACTTAATAGCAGTAGATGGCATTTGCATTGAATGTAAAGTGAAATACATAAGTATAGAAATTTGACTATACATCCAGCACCTGGACTCTAACCTAGTTAATTGTATTTGTGAAATTCATCTATGATAGAAGAGTTCTGTAAAGACAATAATTAGGTATTCAGCTGGGGCAGAAATGCAAACCAAATGCTAGGAATTTCTAGAAAAGGAACGGAGAAACAGGATATCTTTAGGCTATTCTATAAATCCATTGGGTACCCACGCCTTCAATATTATGGACAGTTCTGGTATCTCCTCTGCTAGTGGCCATAGCTTTGGGCTAGGGAGAAGAAATGGAAGCATATAAAATCCCAAATTATATACAGCAGGCAGATGAGGAATGACTGTTCATTGTCTCCCATGATACACAAGGATTGGTGAAAGTGACCAAATCAAAATGTGGGCTTGTAGATTTAGAATAAAAGGGAGATACCTTTCTGAATACTGAATAATTACTCTGTAGAGCTCATTGCCTAGTGTGCAAGAGGCAGATAATGTTTTTATGAGATGGAAAAATAAGTAAGTACATAGACTTCTGGGTGAAAAATCAGTCAACATCTCATCCTGAGGATACCAACTCTGATTCCTTGACCCTGAGCCACAATATGTTAGAAGCAGCATAGGTATTCTGCAGGGATATCACTGCAGGCTTGCCCTGTTCTGGTATTCCTACATAAAAATCCTCTGCTGTCAGGAGTGGGTTTGGCCTGGGGGAACTGCAGGCTAACCCTGTACTGTCAGAATGTTTATGTTAATTGCAATTTAGGATATCGGATATCCTAATTGGTGTTTTCTTGCCTGTATATAATGACTGTTGTTCAGACGGTTACTTGAGCAACAGTATTGATCCTAAGTTAAACATGTTTTTACGTAAGAGTTAGAAAGTTATTTCCCCTGTAATTTGGTAACAAAGAAGACCTGGTGTGATTGTTGGCTGAATACCCGGAGATACTGTATCCAGGGCGGGGAGGCAGTCCCTTCTGCAGGCCCAGCAGGATGCACTGCTAAGGAGAGCACTTGTCGAGCCTGTGTGATGGAGAGAATACCTCTGGATAAGCACAGATATAGTGGGTTTTGGCAAAGGTCAGTCTCACTATTCTGCTTTTGATAGTGTCCATAGCTGAGGCTGAAAGAATACAAGAACAAAGTATATCTTTACCACAGGTTTTTTTTAGGGATTTTAAGCCAGAGTTCGGTTTGATACCATTGGGCCCAGTAGCCATTAATTTTTGCAGTTCCTGTTTGAATTACAGTTTTGACTTCTACAACACCTATGGCAGTATATCCCATAGTTTCATCATATTTTAAAATCTTTTTGATGTTTAAATATTTTGCTTGGTAATTTTATCGCATTTTTCTTTTTTTACCCATATTATGAGAAATGGTGAATCATCATTCCTCAGTTACCTTCTCCATATTAGTTTTCCTGTTTTGGAAATCTGTCATGTCTCCTTCCTTTGTCTATTTTTAGGTGTTTTTCTCTTAGATAAGTCCTATCCTCTTAAAATGACTTCGTGTGAAAATTATAGCTTGGATCATCCTTTTCACGCTTACATGCACTTTTTCTGGTTGTTCTCAAGACTGGGAACACAACCACTCACGGTGTCTCAGATGTGGGTGAACCATACAATTCAGTTCACTGTTGCTCTTGGAATGTTATCTAACAGTATTTTTCTCCTGATTGTCAGTGATATCTATCAGTTACCTGTCCATTCAGTGCTGGCCATGACCCACTGTGGATATGTCTGAGGAAGTTTAATAATCTTTATTGGTTTACGCTTTTACTTATCAAATCTTTTCTTGTCCTGCTGTACTATAATTTTAACTTTCAGAAGTTATCCTTTTTTTCTGGTTCAATTTGAAGACACCAAATGAGTGTTTTTTGGATATCCCTCTGGCTGCTCTTTAATCACTGTTTATTTTTCAGATCATCTCAGTTTTGTCTAGCACTCTACACTTCCTGTAAACTGCTAGTAAGATGTCTTTTAGTACACACCCGTGTGAGATTGGTATCAGCAGAGAGTAATAATGCCCAAGAGGTGGATGTGGTTACAAGAAATTAAGAAATCTGAGAGAGGCTTAGTAATTTAAATATACACCCTGACTATAAATAATGCTACAGGGAAAGTGATAGTGGCTCTCTGAAATGGAAGTGGACACAGTCTGGGTTCTTCTGTGTGTGCTGCTGCCAGCAATGTCTATGAGACTAAGTCCAACACTCCTGTAGGAGCCTCCTGACAAAGAGAAAGGCTTGTTGAAGATGAAAAAAGAATAGACTTGAAGGGGATAGCAGGGGAACACAGGAATTGTCAAGGAGATTTGTCAGTAGAGAATGATGCCAATTTCTAGAAGAGATTGATCATGTAGGTCAGAAGCTGGAAGGTTCTGTAGCAAATGAGCCTGGAGTAGAACTGGAAAAACCCAGACAGGGTTGTTGTGAGTCTGGTGTGCTCCTGAGAAAATGTCCTCTCTTATTGCTGATTTTGCACTGCTTTTTCTTTTTTCTCTCTCCAGGAAAAATGCCGAGTGGCATAAAAACAAATATAAAATCTGCCTCAATGCATCCGTATCAGAGATGAGCTGAGGTGAACCAGACCTGGGGAAGAGCAACATTTGTTACTGCTGCAGGCACCCCACCTGGATTCCTTCTAGGACTTCCAAGTCCCTTCACATATCCACACACCATATCTGGGAAGACAGGGTTTATGAGGCCTTTCCCTGGATTTTATTTAGTGCTGGGTGGCTTCTGTGGAGCTGCTGCTGGCCATGTCTCCTGGACACAAGTACTTCTCTGCTCAGCCAGAGCAGGGGACTTTGCTTCTGGTATTGATGTCATCTTTTCCAGGTCTGGCCTGGAGGATAACTACACTCTCCTGATAGAGAGCCTGAAGAGCTGCATAGAGCTCTTTGTTTCTGCTTGTTCACTTGGTATGTTCTTTCTTTACTCCATCTTGTTTAATAAAGACCTTGTTATGTTCACTGTGAGACACTGGTGTCCATCTCTAGGGTTATAAGGACTCTTATGTCCCTTTGGGTAAGGCTACAGAGCAGCTCCAATCTAAACCACACTGAAAATGTTGGAGGCCAAGTGCTGGAGCTGCAGGTCTGTGTGTAAAGGGGTGTAGCAGAGTGAGTCAGCAGGGTACAAACATAAGCAGCAAACATCTTATGCATTAAAAACCAATTATGGCTATACCCCAAAAAGGAAAATACTGGGAAGGACTATTTCAAGGCCCAGAGCAAGAAGACAGCACTTGAGGAACTGAAGCACAGAGCTTTTATATTCTGATGCTGCAGCAAATCCCAGCTGGATTTGATTTCATTTCATTTCCATGCTTCTGTTTTCTATAATGTTTATTAGCTGCTTCAGGATTAATTTATCACTTCAGAAAGGTATTTCAATGTGAGCAGGACTGTGACACTTCTGGATGGGCCAGGTTGTGAAGTCTGGCCCATTTCTCTTAGGAACTGGACACTGTGAAGCCATCTCTGTTCTACTTTCTGCCCTTGAGCTGTAACATAGAATCTGCCTAATGAGAGATTCCCATGAGACAAAAGTGTGGGGGCACTTGTCCATGGAGCCTGTCAGTACATACAGCACTATCCTAAAGGACAAACGTCCTGCTTATGGTTGCTCTTGCATGCACTTCCTTCTGACTTGTGTTGAAAGCCAGCAGTGTGTTTTACTCAATAGCATCTGTCAGCAATCTTCAGGTGAGGAAATCTCCACTCAGCAGATTCAGCCTGCAGCTGCTCCTGCACTACTTGCCTCTGAACTAATCAGATCCAGCTTATTTGTGGAGGCTGTGAGCTGTTCTCCCAAAACAAAACCACCCACAAAGCTGTGACTAGGGCAGTTATTGACCCATTTTGACATGCTGGCCCTTGAAAAGCACTGAGCCTACTGGGAAGTAGAAAGTTGAGCTGGAAGCACAAACAGCTTATACAATAGCAAAGCTGCTCCACTACAAATGAGTCCATCTGCAGTGGCAACATCCCAGCCAGACTGGTGGAATTGCTTTTTCCCTAATGAATGTGGAGGTCCTGGCTCTCTGGGATGCCACTGACTGCAGCAGGGAACTGGTGTGAAGGCAGTGGAGGCATGTTACTGGTTCCAGTGTGAGTGGTTGTGCAAAAGCAAGCCTGACAGCCTGCAGGGCCATTCCTGTGATGTGCTGAGAACCGTGGGGAGGGCTGTTCCCTGCTCTGTCTCATGTCCTTGCTTTGGTTGGAAAGGAAAGCAGAATAATGTATGTGTCATATCCTTGGCACTCATCATTCATGGAGCCTCAGCTCTAGGATTCTGCTTGGCTTTATCCCCTCAGACTGGCTTCCTTATAAAGCTAAAATGCCTCAGTGCAGATCTCAGGGAGTCATTGGGGCAGCCCAGGCCACAGGCAGGGCATGGCTGCCTGCTACCCACGCTAACCTGAGCAAAACGCCTCCCAAAAACGCCTCCAGCGGGGCAGGCCAGACCTTTCACACAATTGGACTGGAGGAAGGGAAACACAGGCAGGTTTTTTTCCGTAGATTATAAAGCAGGGAGGCTGGCCAGGCTCCCAGGCTCGCCAGAGTAACTTCCTGCATGACACAGGCTGCCGCGAATTAGTTCTTGTGTAAATTAGAGCACTGTTGTTAGGAAAACAGTTGATTTTAAATTGATGAATCCCTGCTACAGTGGCTGGTAGAATGTTCTGGAAACTGTTTTCCTTGTTGCACCATAGATTGATGTTGCATTTCTTTAATTTCCTTCAGATCAGTGAATCTTCTCAGGAAGGAACTGAGCCTCTGAGTTGTTGGTACCAGAGGAGTCAGACATTATGATCAAGCTTTCCTGCTCCTTTTTTAAGACAGACTGAACTGATGAAAGTCCCTTTTGCTTTAAGGCATATTTTCAATTTCTTGACTCGCATCCAAATCTCCTTATACATCTGTGTCCCTTGGGACACTGGACCAAGGCACACTATTCTAATTGTGGGAATGGGAATTTCAGATGTAGAGCAAGTTTAACCTCTTATCCAGTTGCTGCCAGTGCTTGAATGTTTAAACAGGGAACAGGAACAAGCCTTTTACCCATACAGTCACTATGGAATTCATGGTCCACTGCTTGTCACTATGGTCTGCATGTCTGACAGGGATTCACTGTTCCTGGTGCACTGTGTCAGACTAAAAGTGTGACTCTGCTGGGATGGGGCAAAGGCTCAGGCTGTGTCCTGCTGTGGCAGCAACCAAGTGGGTGATTGGGAAGCACACTTCCTATGAGCATGGGATGTGCTGCCATTCTGAACTCTTGTGGTTTTTTTTCCCCTACCATATCCAATCCCTTTTGAACTCATCTCTTCCAAGCAGGATAATTTTGGCAGAGAGGAGGCTCAGCCATGGCATGGCAGCTGCTGCTGGGCTCTCTGGGCTCCAGTTCAGGTGCTGAAGAGAGATGGAGAAGGGCACAGGTTTGTTCTGGTCCTCCAAACCTCCCCTCAGTACCTGCCAGGCTCTGGTGCAGACAGTGGGATTTGCTGCATAACCCCATTCCCCCAGGGATGCCAAGGGCTCCCAGGACAGAAGTCTATACACATCATGACTTTGTTTTTTTTCAGGTAAGCAGCTTTACACTATTTAGCAGTCCCTGCTGCAAACACATGCTCAGTGCCAGCTCCCCAGGGAGCAGCTCCTCTCCTGCTTCACACTTGGCCAAGCCGCCCATGAGCTTGTTCCTTGGTTGCACACACTGCTGTACCAGCTCTCTGATACTGAAGAATGTACAGTGCCCAAAAATTTATCATGTTGGTCTGACAGGCTTATTGTCTGTCATCCTTGTTGATTGATATTTATATTTCTCTGCTTTAAGTCTTTATCAATATGATCACATATTTTTTGGTCATTATTTTGCATATGATGTCTGGCAAAATAGACACACCTGTTTACTAGGCCATCCTGTTTACTTTTTTAATATGCTGGCATAACATCAACTTGCTTGTTCTCTGGAGCTTCTCCAGGTTCCTTTGTGTTACTGGATCTCAGCATTAATAGTTTGGATGTTTAAAAATTGATGTTATTTTTCTAGGTGCAGGATACCCAGACTGAAGAGTGTTCAACATTTCCCTGATACAACTGTTGTTTAACATCCTCCTGAGTTACTGTTAGAGTGGAAAGTGTTTCACCCTCGTGACAGGAGTGCTTCATCTGGCTTCCTCCCAAATGCAGGAGAGAGATATTTATTGCCTTTCCTTCCTGCCCAGCTGCCCACAGGCACACTGTTCCCAGTCTGTACCACACATGCAGCCATGCTGGGTTGTGCCCACAGCGTTCCTGTTGCTGCCCTGGGCTGCATCATCTCTGGGAGCCATGAAGCTCAGAGTGGTGCCACCACTTCCCTTCATCTCTCTGCATCCAGTGATCAGCATGACAAACACCTGCTGCTTGTTTGTTCTCTTGTCCCGTCCCCAAGCAGCGATCTGCACACAGATGTCTTCTGTTTAAACAAGAAAAACATAACATTTTGTTTGTTTTTTTAACCTACAGATTTTTTAAGTTGATGTCATTAAGCCTTTATAGTGGAAATGAATTATGTGTGGTGTGAGGGAAGAAGCAGCTGAAAAGACAGGGGGACAAAGGAGTGAGGGGAACCTCTCCAGTTCTCCACACTCCATGCCACAGGTATGGCAGGGTTTCAGTGTGGGCTGCATGGTTGGTTTCCATCCTCCTGCTAGGATAGGATCTTTCTGCCGGAAACATCTGGGACCAAAGAAGTCTTGTAATGGTTGGGTTGAGAAAGACAGAGCACTTTTTTATGCTAAGAAGCAAGATAATGAGGTCAGTGCTGCCAAAGGATCTTCAGGCAAGTTTTTCATCTGCATTGTTTCCAAAGCAGCTTCACCTGCAGCTCACAGAGGAGAGACAAACACATGGAAACAGCAGCAGAAGATGCATCTTAACTGACCTCTGAAAAGCTTAGAGACTGCTTGGGAGTCAAAGGCACAAACACAGGGTAAGTGGTCAAGTGTAGGAAACAGCTCCCCAATCCGGGTCTTTGCTTTTCCCCAAGCTACCTGCATGAGCTTGGTGGCCCCAGGAGAGGCAGAGCCTGTCTATGTGACAGCTGGTGCCTACAAATGAATACACAGGTGTTTTCAAAAAAATCCCATCTCCTCCTTCCACCCAAGTGAAATAAACCTCCAACTGTCTTAGACAGAAAATGTTACCTCACAGAGATGCTGTGGTGGTAAAAGCTCAAGCACAAGAAATGGCATGTTTGGATGTATTTGTAATACATGCCATAAAAATAGTTCAAGCTGATGTGATTCAACAGTTTATTTATTGTCCCTATGACACTGAAGCTCTCTGGTTGAATCCAGGAACGCTGCCTTGTTGGAAACCTGCACTTAGAAATTAATGAAAACCTTCTGTAATTTCCCTAGGGGTAACCCTGTACATGAGCATAATTCAAAGCATGCTATGTTGTCTGGCTCCTCTGAGGAGAAGCCCTTGTCTTCTGGTTTTTTTTGGGTTTTTTTTTTTTTTTTTTGGTGTGTGTTTTTTTTAAAGAAAGGAAATTATTGCATGTATATTTCTGACTGAGATGCATATTTTCTAAAGTCAGGGGTTTAAGAGCTGTAGTTTCTGCAGAAGCTATCTTATCACTGCTGCTCAGATTCTGTCACTGATTTACCTGCTTGTTTTAAGGCTTCTCCCTTTGCTACCATCATGCCCAAGCAGTTGCTGCACTGAAATAGCAGTGGGTGCTAAGTCCAGCCTGGTATGTCAGCTCCTTTCCTCTGAGTCAAGACTGTGCCCCAGGGTACTTTTTTATTTGCTGGCCATGCATTGGGGTAAAGGCCATGCTTTGGGGCATTGTTGTCTGTGAGTTATTTCAAAGCTGCAGCATTTCCCAGGATGTTCCTCTTTTGAATGCAGACCTTTGCCCTCTATGCTTGCTGCCAGGTGGCTTTGGTGGGGTGTGTCTGTCTCCCACTGCCATG